GGCTGCAGCACAGTGCACAGGTAATAGACTCCAGATGAACACCTGGATTAAAAACTCTTGGGGAGATAGGAGGAAGAACAGGGCTTCTCTGCACCTCCTAGCCAGGCCACGTACAGTGCTAGGCATAAAACAGAAGCTCAATAAATTCTTCTTAAGTGTGTGATAAGGCTAGGTTCCCAGCCTCATTCAGTGCTGGGATTACAGGTACTTTCCCACTGGCATCCATTCGTACATTCTCCTTACAGATGAAACCACATACTCATGGACATCCTTGAACTTAGTGACCTTGAGGAAAAGAGAAAGAACTGGGCTGTCTCTGTGTAGCTTTGCACACTGCTTCCTGCTTTTCTAGAATAAGATCATTTGTAATTAATTATAATTGTCCCTCAGCCTCCATCGGGGATTGGTTCCAGGATGTTCCTGGGGACACCAAAAATCCATGAACGCCCAAGTCCCTTATATAAAATGATATGCACAGTATATGCATGCAATTTTGCAAACTTCCTGTATGCTTCAAATCCTCCCTATGTAATACTTAACACAATGTAAATGCTATCTAAATTGTTATCATACTGTGTTATTTAGCGAATAATAACAAAAATGTTTTACATGCTTAATACACACACACACACAGACACACACACAAAACTCGGGACCTTGCGCTTGCAAGGCAGACACAATGCCACTGAGCTAAATCTCTGGCCCCCATGGAGAGTTTTGCACAGAGAAGTGACCCCCATTTGCCAGGTCAGATAGATTAACAGGAGACTAGCGTGGTAGGAAGTCACAAGATCCTATAAGTATGTGGAGGCAAAGCCCGGGATATTTAACAATTTAAAGTGCAGTCTGAAGGCTGGGGATGTAGCTCAGTGGTAGAGTACTTGCCTGTACTCTAAATCGGGAGGGACACAGGGAAGTTTCTGACAGTATGACCAACTGGCCTCTTATCCCAGCTCCAGCACTTGGCAGAATAAAAACATATCCAAAGAATCAATTACCTCCCTATACCTAGTCTCTGACTTCTGGCTAGTTCCCCAGAATTTCTTATCTCTTAATTCAGGGTAGGTGAGCCCAGAAGCCACAAACCTTGAGCTTTTGAGATAAGCAGGATCATTTTCAATCATGTCCCCTTGTGCTATTTCCCCACATTCTCATGGTACTCTGAGAAGAGAGCTTGCAAGGATAGGAATAAAGGCACACAGAGTTTCTATCACTCACTTTCCACTCCCCCAGTCATGTCATTACATTTTAAACCCAGGTATCCTGTGTCTCCCTGTACCCACAGAATCTTGGCTTCAGTTCTTCCTTGTTTGTTAAAGAAAACAAGAAACAAGGGTAACTTCTTATCTTCAGAAGCCAAACTTCAGCTCTCTCCTAAGCCAGTAGGGAGAGGAGTGTTTGTGCTTCTGCAGGTAACTGCCTGTTGAATTCTTTCTGCTGGCTGCCCTGTGAGTATTTGCCTGGAAGGTAGGTAGCATCTCCTGTCAGTTACCTGTCTGTCAAAGCTGCTACTTCCTTCCCCAGGGTATTTTCTCTGTACAAGCTGCCACTTCTCCTGACCAGGAAAAGTATCTGCTGAGCCTACCCCCGCCACACACACACACAGTGAGGGCACAGGGGACCTGCTTGATCAAACTTGCAAAGACACAAGTGGATTCATTTGGCAGCTACAGTGAGAGCACATGCTCAGGACAACCAATTTAGACGATGTCCTACGGGAAGGAAAAATTGTCAAGAGAAATGTTCTGAGCTAAAACCTAAGACGGAGGTGGCTCTCACTACCACCTGCAAAGTCTGACCCTGGCTGTGCCACAAAGCCTGGCATTGCTGGACTGCTGCTGCTGCTGCTGCTGCTGCAGAGCTCTTCAAAACCTCCCAGCTGTGGTCCTAGTTTTATATACCGATGTCATTTAATATAAGTCTCATACAGGTTCCCACCTGCCCCTTGCATGTGGGCAGTTGCAAAAGAAACAGTTCTCCTGGACTAAGTGAAAGAGCTTATCTGTTTTTTCCCCCTTGCAAAACCTGAGTTTTGGAGTCAGCAGACCTGCAATGAGATCTTGGCTTTGTAACTTACCAATTGTGAGGCCAGAACAAGTCACTACAATTATTTGAGCTTCAGCTCTCTTATCTGAAGAACAGGATGAGCATGTCTGCCCATCCTCACAGGAAGGCTGGGGGGCTGTAGGGATAATCCCTGTAGTGCTCAGCACAGGGTCTGGCACACAGTAGGTGATCACTAAATAGCAGCTATTACTTTTGCTCTAGCTCTTACTATTAGCAGGTGGAGGTGGGCAGTGCCTCTTTGGCACTGAGATCAGCTATCTTCAGTCTATGCCTCTTGTCCATTTGATTCCCTGGGTGACAGGTTGAGAGGCTGGACCAGGAGGTTTGCTTCTCTGTCTGGCAAGTGAGAATAAGCATTCTTCCCTCATGTGAGGCCAAGTACCTGCTGCACATGTGTGCTCATCCTACTGCGAGACCGGTGGGGGGTTTGGGGGTGGTTACCACCTAAACTCCAGGCTTCATTTGCAAAGTCAGGGGGACAACAATGAACTCCATCACAACAGCACCTGTTCAGTTCTTTTCACCCACATTCAACACTTGTATGGCATGTCAGTGCTAGGGGGACTGGCTGCTAATGTGAAACCCACCTATAGAAAGCCACCTTGTTGTTCTCCTCTGGGAAGGAGCCTTAAGCTCCTCCACCCCACTGCTTTCATTGTCACAGACCACCCACTAGAACTTGCTGGCAAGCTGCCACAGTCCAGGCAGGCTACAGGGCTAACTCCATCTCTGCAAGTCCATAGAAGGGAAAGCACCTGGCTGTGTGGCTGTCACCTGGGGCTGACTCAGCCTTCACAGATGGCAGACCACCAAAGGTCTCAAAGAAGGGCTGCAGGTGATTGTTTCAGAGGCCTGCACAGTGGAAGACCCATTAAAATTCAACTCTTGGCTATAATATAGCAGATTCTTATACAACTTGTTCACTACAAAACATCCATTCATAAGGACAGAGGTAAACAGCTGTGAATTTCCATGACTTCATGTGGTCTCCCTTGCAAAAGAAGGCCCTGTGCTGGCTGAGGGCATTAATAAATCAGCCTCATTTGGGCACAGCTATGAAAGAAGGAAGAGCTACTGTAACCCCACTATGGGGTAACAGCTATGAGACAGAAGACAGAAAGACAGTCAAGTGGGAGAGATGATTTGTGAAATAATTAAGAGCAGCCTCTGCTTTCATAGAAAAACCAATAAACCCAGAACCTCCCAATTTTCCTCTCCAATTAACTGTGACCCATACCTAATAAACCTGCTGGGATTGTAATATTAGGTAAGTACAGACTAGTAAAGGCATTTGGCTTAGACTAAACTAGAAAAATATTGGCAGAGCCAGGGGAGGTTGGGGAGAGCTCTTTTCAACAGTCCAGTTGCAGACCAGTCTGGGTGCAGGCTCAGCCCAGCCAGGTCCACATGCTCTCCTCCCCTACCTGTAGCTCCCACCTGTGTGATGTTTACTTCTCAGCCTGGGAGGTTTCTGGGCAACTGGAAAAGCCCAGTGACTTTCACTTCCCTAAAATAAATTTCCCCACTCCAGCCACTCTGGCAAAGATTTCAGAGCCAAGCAAACAGCAGAACACAGGGCAAGTGGAATGGAAAGGCAAACAGCTGAATTGGAGCATGTGTTTCTTGAAATTGTAGCTAAAATCTGACATAGGTGAGAAAGAAAAGAAAACCACCCATTTCTCTCTTATTTCCTCAGAGCAATTCAGTAATTGGTTTTGGAAACATATCAAAAGCCAGATTTCTGAGATTCTGCATTCAGTGAAGAGATTCTATGTCTTAAGTTTCCTAAAATTAAAAATAAAACCACTCGGCCTTGAAATCTCATGTCTCCAGCATACTTACCCCCATTATCCACTGAGGAAATACGAATTTTGGGGAAGAAAAAAGTGAACTAATGCAGGCAGAGGTAAAAGAATATTTAGTACTGTAGATCACACCTTTAGTTTTAAGACTCAGCCATAGATTTTGTCTCCCCTCCTTCAGGAAGACTTTCTTCACTGACCACTGCAAGTGCTTTAACAGTAGAGTTTGCATTGTACTGCTTTGCATAACCCTCCCCAGTAGCAATGGAATTCTGAAGGCTGAGGACTCCAGGACTGAGCCCTGCCAGCCCATGCCACAATGCCAGGCACACAACACGGATTCAATAATGCACTATTGAAAGGATGAAGGCTCCAAGCTACACACGTCATCTCTATCATGTTATCCAACATTGTCCAAACTCATTTTGAAGAGGAATAATATTATTTTGCCATACTTTCCACTACTCAGCTCCTTTTGGGTTATTTTTCCTCAACACTACTTACCTCGTTCATAGTAACACTTTCTTGTTACCAACCAGAGCTAGTTGAGGCTTTCTCAACATTTTCTCTGGCAACCAAACTAAGTTGACTGTGTATTACTGGCTATAATCTGCTATGATTTCTTCTTACTACTCAATAATCCTGTCCCAAACATCAAAGGCCCTCTTTGAAGATAAAGCCAAATTCACCATTAGGAAAAGAGAAATTATTTCCTAGCTTTATTTCAAAAGATGGAAAGAAGTGGAATCACTGTGCTTTTTGTGAGATAAACAATGCCCGGTACATCAGACCACAGGCACTCACTGTAATACCACTGACGGAGACATACTCAGCTCTCCTCACCCAGGTCTAAGCAGGGCTCTTCCACAGCAAGCTTAGACTCCAAATCTCACAGTTTCAGATTTATATCCAACATGTCTGACGGTTTGCCTCAGGGAAAGGGGGTTCAGATGGCTACCACAGGCTTTGACACGAGTACACAAGCTCCTTGAAACAGCCTGAAGTTTATTCTTGATTCCCACTCTGAGCCAAACTCTTTCAGTACTAAGGATGAGGAAGTGATAACACGAAACATGAAAATCCAGCAGACCAAACAGGCGGGAGATATAGACCAAGAGCAGAAAACCTCACCTACTTCTACTTTTTCGCTGCTACCCTCAGATGGTATGAATGTTGACAAGACTTCATGGGTCATGGGTTCCAGGAAGCCTGTTCTGGGACTGAAGAAAAAGAGAATGGTTTCATTTTTTGAACAACAAAATAAATAGTTCTGAAGTATTTGCTTTGTATAAGGTGCATTGCTATAGAGTAATTCCTTATTAATTTATTTTATGAATAAGAAAACAGATGAAAAGCAATTTTCCTAAAATGACAATTTTCCTTAAAAGTTCAGTTACCTGGCTCCTTGCTAAGAACTGAGACAAATAATGGATTAAGAATAATGACTAGATTTTGGAATACCATTATTCTTGCATCCAACAGTACATTTTCATCAGTATTCACCAAATATTTCTCTAACACATATTATAAGCCTCATACGTAATAAAGTGGACCTTATTATAGGGATGGGGCTTATTACAGGGATGAGACTTAGAGCAGCAGGGTAGTGGGCAAGGAACAAACTCAGTGAAACCTACGGGTCAGCTACTGTAGGGGGCCTAGCTGAAGCTGAAGACTCCCAGTAGGGTAGTATTACTATGAAGTAGGAGACAGCCACACATAAAAGGGTTGGGAAATTTGGATTTTAAAGTTGAGAGGTAACTTGTTGGGACTAAGAGACTACGGAGAGGTGGTGACAGGTGGACAGTAAGGGCCCAGCCACGTGTCATCAGAAATTGTCAAGACCTTCCATACCCACTGTGATAACAGGAGTGGAAATGATGGTGTAGATGGTGGCAAAGCAAAAGGAAAAGCAGGAAAGACTGGACAAGGCTGGGGTGGGAGTCTAACTGTGGTAAGGAACTGGGGGGCGGATGAGAGGGGGTGCAGGCAATGGAGAGGGAGGAACAGAGGAGTGCGGTGGTTTGAAGTGAATGGAATTTAGAGACAGAGCTGGTGGTCCAACCTAATCCTATAGGGAGCACCACTTAAGATAGAGCCTTTACACCTTCCTTCCTATGTTCCATCCCTCCTCTTCTCTCCACGACCAACACAGAGGGCTCCAAGGAGGCAAAAATCTTACTTAGGAAGGCTTTTTATAAACATGGACCTCTAGATTAAAAACAAACACCCTCTGTCATCCCACTCCTCAATCCTAAACAGTTGACTCATGCTCATAAATTACGAAAATATTGCATGTTAGGGTTCTGTGTGGGAGCACACTTAGGATCTGGCTTGCTCCCACCGACAGCGAAGCAGCTGAACATACAAGTTCACTGTGAGTCTTTGGTAAAAATGTAGATAGCTCAGGGCTGTCTGATGATAAGAGTCCATACTTTGAACACAACTGTGTAAAAAATATGTATATGCAGGAATGGACAATAAGTTATAGTATGGAACTATGGGTACTTTTAAAAACATTTTCATAATTAGTAGTATATGCTCATACAATAAATAAAAACTGAGGGAAAACCATTCTGATCAAGAAAACTCACTCTTCTGGGACAAGGAAGCCAGGTGTCAGATGCACCATAAATGTTTCCTAAACTGAAGTATGGAAGTGACAAGAAGTTATTTATGTTGAAGGAAACAGATTTTTCTCAATAGGAAATATTGCTGGTTTTTCCCTCCCTCCTTGCTCCACTCCCTTTGCAGATAGCAAGATTTTGATTTGGAAGGAAAAAAGTTAACTAACTCCCAGTGTATCAGATCTTTTGGTGCCAGGTTAGCACGTTCCTATTCAGAAGCCACAAAATACTGGGCTGCAATTATCTACTGCACAGGGGTCTTCAGATGCAGTTGGAAAGAATCAGAGAGACAACTCCACAATTCAATAAGTACGTCAGTGACTGCTGAAATTTGAACCCTGCCCCTCTGTGGCCCTTGGAACAGTAAGATCATCAGCCTCATTTCTTGCCCTCTTTTCTTCAATGCAGAGTGCATGTGTGTGTGTGTGTGTGTGTGTGTGTGTGTGTGTGTGTGTGTGTATGTATGTATATGATGTGTGCATCCATAGGGAAGTCAACCAAATATTTCATGAGTAAAGTCTACTCATCCTGCAGTGATGGAAACCACAGACAGCAGCAGCAGAGAGGGAAGATCCCAGATAATTGAAGTAGCACTTCAAAGAAGGTAAAATCACTGGACTAACATAGAAAATTAAAAGGAACAGAGCTCCTATGCCCTCTTCATCAAGAGTTGGCTGACAACTTAGCAGCAAAGCAGAGTCCCCACGCACTAAGGTGTTTTCCTTCACACCCTTCCTCCCTTGCTGTGGTCAACAGACCAACCATCCTGGCCTCTATCAATCTCCCTCCCCAAGTAAAGCCAAGTGCCTGTGACGTGAGCAGTTTGTCCCAGTGATGGCTTCTGCAGTGGTGCTCATCTAAGATATCCTGAAGGAGGATAAAATGGAAAGGGTTTGCAGTCTCAGCTCTCAGGCTTCATGGGTGCAGACAGCCTCTAGCCTCCTGAAGGGCCAATTTCCAAGTAATAAATCTCCATGGGAACAGCCATGTCACCAAAAAGGTACAAGGAAGCATCTCTGACGTCTTTCATTTTTACTTCTTTGCATAAACTCACTTGAAAAACTAATCTGGCAGGAAAATCATAATCCCATTGCTGTTTCCAACTGCCTATGTCCTGCTGACCCCAACGTGCTCCAAGATTACTATTCTGGGCTTCAGTTATGAGAGCATTAAAAAGTGCCAATTATAAGACCTCAGAAACGTTCCTGGGAAACCTGTTACACACCTCAAAATGGCCAACCTCTTGCCTCGGTCACTTTAAATACAGTTCAGAAAACAGGTCACCCAGATGTGTGAGTGCCCCAGCCCCCACCTCAGTCCAAAAAGACTGTTTTAATACTTTTCCGTGCTGCTCTTGACAAAATGGAGATAGATTTATTGGCTGTAACCAGAGGGACGAAAAAGCCATCACAGAGATGTTTTGCTCATTTAGGGCCCAGTCATGGAATAAATCAGAAATGTTTACACATCCAAGAATTTTTAAAATTACTTTCATTGAAATGGTCTATTCCTGCGAAGTTCTGGGTAACAAAGAACTCAGTAACAAATCTGTGTTGGATACAGGGCATCTGAGGATGGCACAAAGGTCTGACGCCAAAATATAGTTTTGACTCAGTGTACTCAAGGAGGTAACTCTGGGTCAGAAACTTATTGGAACATATTTGAGCCTGCAGGGAAAGAATGGAGGAGAGGCCGAACACCCCACCACACCCAGAAAGTGCCTTTTTGGGATTGCTGGTGTGTGGTTTGGGTATTCTTAGCTCTAAATGCCACATCTCTGGAGGAACACAACTCTTGTTTCAAAAGACTGCCTCTGCCATTCTGTCCCCCAAATAACAACTTAAACAAAACCATCTCCAGGACAGATCCCTAATGTCCCACCAGGCTCACCTGCCTCTCACCCCTCAAAGTTGTCCTGTCACGTGGAAAATTTAACTAACCCTGAGCACCTGAAAATCAACAAGTCCTTCTCAAACGCACCAAATATTCTTCCCGGCTTCTGGGCCCTCCCCACAGACCTTTCCCACTTGTCCCCACCTTCTGGCAGTTTCAAAAACAAAACCCCAAGAGCACAACCCCTGGGGTACACTGTGGATGCACGCGCGCGCGCGTACACACACACACACACACACACACACACCTACCTACCTACCTTACAGATGCCCCAGGCTCACAGAAACGTCGAGACGACACTTCAACTTTGTCCCTTCTACCCCTGCAGCTAAGAGAGCTTTTTAGAGGCTGTTTTAGCTCCAGTCCTTTCAAACTCTCATTTTTTTTTTTTTTTAGCAGTTTCCTTTTCAAATGCCAATGGTGACAACCTTGCCCCAGAAGAGAGCAAATGAATAGTTCTCTGCATTTACCGACACCGTGCAGACGTCTCCCCACGGCCTGCTCTGCTCAGGGTGCCCGGGCTCTGGTGGCAGCCTTCGGGGCAAGTTTGGGAGGCTGTGCGGGGCCTCCTTCTAGCAGAGCAGCCTCGGGAAAGGCGGGCGCGCCACCAACCCGCCCGGCCCGGGAACAGAACGCC